AGATAGGGGATGAACTCCGTAGATACAGCTCATATGCTTGTCTGTTGTGGTGTTGATATAGCTCATATGCTTATCTGTTGTAGTAGTGATATAGCTCATATGCTTATCTATTGAAAAGTTTGTTTGATTTGATATAGCACTCAAATGTATATCATCATTGTTTGTGAAGTATGGGAGTAGTTTATGTGTTATTGGTACAACACCATAATGTGTATCCACCTTGGATTTCGAAAGTGTTCTAGTGATGAACTATAATCTCATCAAACGTTCTGGCCAGAGTACTGAGCCTTGTTTTCAAACTCAAAGTTGAACAAAAATGAAAAGTGAATTGTAATATAGACTTGGCTGTCATGGTAACGTAGGGAGATGTAAATGGAAGTGTCAGTGTTGACCGTCTATCAGTTGCTAATCTTTTAGTCATTGTTCATGGTTGGTTTAGTGTATTTCTACTGGGCTGTGGCTCACCCTATATGGGAATATCATTTTCAGGTACAGGTAGCATGCCACCTCCAAGGACATAGCTTGGGAGGCTAGAGGCGGACATACTTTTGTCGTTTACTTTTTGATGTATTACATGTAATTCAAGCCAAGGGCTTAATGTGTAATGAGTTAGTACTCTTTTGTTGTAACCAAGTGTTAACTTGGAAAGCTGTAAGCCCATAGGGCATTTGCTTTTGTTGTTAACATGTAATACTTATGTAATGAAATTCTGATATATGGAAGAATGTGGAACTTTTACATATCAATGCATGTCTTACTTGATGGGTTTAATGTTATTATTTTGAGGGCGTTACACTAATAATTTTTGGGTTATTCATGATAGCAAACAGAAACTCTTTGTAACATAACACGATCTTTTTCCAGGTGGAAGGGTTTTGCTTGGGGCATGGGAAATATGATCTATTTTGCTTGGGGCATGGGAAATGGATGATGGATGAGTTTGTAGCTGCAGGAATCTCAAAGAAGCTTGGTATCATCGGATTCTTCTTTGGAGGTGGTCGACTAATAGATGCGCTCACCCAGGATGGGGGTGCCTGTTTTGGCATTGGGGTTTCATTCTATGGCACAAGAATTGACCCATCTGTCGTTGCTAATATAAAGGTGCCTGTATTGTTCATTGTGGGTGACAATGATCCGAGTTGTCCGGTCAGTGCCTTGGTATATGATTTTTTGAATGTGAATTTTGATGTAGATGTGGATGTATTGTATTTTAGAAAATATTAATAATTTGTACAGGGAATGAATTAATAGATGTGGATGTAGATGTGGATGTATTGTATTTTGATGTAGATGTGAATTTTATTTTTACAGATGGTTTTTGGAGTGGAAAAGTGGATATTCTTTATTTTTGTGTGGAGGACATTGTTTTTTTTATAATCTGTTATTATGTTGTCCTTTGTTTTTTTTTTTTTGGATTACCATTGTTCATACAGATAACTACTGGCATGGTACAAATTGTTTTTTGCATATAACATATTACTTTTGGCATGGTATAGATTACCATTTGACATGGTATTGTGGATATTTCTTTTTTTGTGTACGGCAAACATGATTTTTGTATAATCTTCTGTTTTGTATAGAATTATTATTTTATGTTGGATTATGCTTGATTCGTATGAAATTTCTATTATATTTCGAATTTGATGTTAAAAGTTAAATTTTCTTGGATTGTTATTATTATTTTTATATACAAGGTACAGGTTGCATAGAATAAATACAGGCTGTGACAAAATAAATATATATATGTATAAAAATAAAAACTAAAGAAATTTTTTTACGATTAACTATTTAGTAGCTAAAAAGAAGTGAAGTTGGCGACTAACCAATTCGTAGCCAAAAGGAAATAAAGGCTTTTTCGTGATTAAATATTTGGTAGCCAAAAGAAAGAAAATATTTTTGGTGTCTAAATAATTTGTAGTGAAAAAAAAAAGATGAAAAATAAAATTTATTTGGTGAGTAAATATTTAGTAGCCCACAAAATTTGAAGTTTTTGCCTACTCAAAATTTAGTCATCAAAAAAACTGTTGATATTTTTGACGACTAAATATTTAGTCACCAAAAAAAACTATAATCTTTTTCCTACAAAAAGGTTTGGTTACTAGCTAAAAGAGTCAATTAGATGTATGGCTACAAAATTAATTTGTCGTCGATAATGGAAAAAAGAATTGGTGATTATATATTTTAATCACTAAATAAAACATAGTAGTGATAAAATTTATCTACGACTAAAAATTAAGTCGATAAAAGTTCAAAATAAATTTATAAGAAAAATTATGGCGACTAAATTATTAGTTGACAAATGGTATTCTTTGGCTACTAAAATAATTTTAGTCGACTAAAAATGATTTTTAACGATTAAAAATTTAGTTTTCAAATGTGCAATTTCTTATAGTGTGTAACTAGTTTTAAGATAATTCATAGTGTCAAGATAATTGTAAATGATAATTTTTATACCCATGCTTCATAGTCTGAAGATAATTCTAAATAAAATTTTTTATATTTTTTTGCAAAGTATATATTATTTAAAATTTATTATCATAATTTTGCGGTGTTGGTGTAAGAGGCGGGTACCCTTTGTCCAATCCATTTGAATCCAATTACAATTGAGTTTGAGTTTGTAGGATAAAATTCATTTAAATTACGACGAATTTCTCACATGAAATTACATAATTATTTAATGCTAATTGAATTTGTAAATATTTATACACAAGCATCAACATACATCATTATAACCTCACAATTGCTACAATCATCACTAATATTGCTGTAACCACCATCACTGTCACTGTCACTGTCAGCACCATCACCACCACCACTATTGTTATTACTACTGCCTTTATTATCCTTGTCATCATTATCATAAAACATACCATCATTTTAGGTAGTAAAATTTAATTATCTTCAAATAGTGAAATTTAACCTTAATATTTAGGTGAAATTATTAAAAAAGTGAAATTTCTACTAAAGAAATAAAAATTACAAAATTAAAGGCAAAGATGAACTAGCGAGTAAATGGAAAACTTACGAGTTAAAGAGAGATGTCATCAATGGATTCATTGGCAAAAAAGTGATTGCCACTATCATTTAAATTAGCTAACGATAATTTAATTTTCTTAATTAATTTGTTGTATAATTAATCGTATAATGTGTGTAATTACCAAAATTTTACATTAATTTGAAATTCCCTCTCAAAATTTGGGACCCTCCAAGTTTTGCCCCTAATCCCTCCTACGTTTCTCATGTCTCTTTCTCTTCCTCTCTCTCACACGACTATGTCTTCTCATTCTTCTTCCCTCATGGACGATTTTGTTGCTCCATTCCACCGTTGTACTGCCCGAAATCCAAAGTTGACACCGCCGATTCACGAACTTAGAGTATTTCATTCTGACCAGGTAAGTTGATTTCTGTTTCTTTCTCTAGATCTTATTCTTTGCCCTAATTTCTCACAAACTGACTCCCTCTCTTAGCAATCTCTACCTCACACACCTTCACCACCTTGTAATCACTACGACACCATGCCACCGTAGGCACCATCTCTCTGAATACAACGGAACCCCATTCCGTCGCCATAATCCCCACATTCGCACGAACCATTGCTACCACCAGCCAATCCTACCGGTAAGCCCGCTTTCCATTGCTTTTGTTGTCCCTCTTCATCCTCTCTTGCTTCCTGCCATCGTGCCCTAATATCTTCATTTTTCTCTCTTAGCCACCATATTTCGTTATGGGCATATGTTAATTTCCAGATTTGGTAATTCGAAGAGTATTTTGCGTTGGTACTTCACATTTATGTTTCTTTGATCAATTGCAAATATATGTTTATGTGTTTGTATTGCTCATTTTCTTCCTCCCCTATTTTTTACTTACCAAGCTCCCTCTGGACTTATTGATCTATTATAAGAAAATGTACTTTTAGCGACCATTTTGTTTCTCTCTCGCATAACACTCTGTCTCTCTTCTTTTCTGTCTCTTTTCTCTATCTGTCTCTTACTCATCTTTCTCTCTTACCACACATCTCCTTTACTACCTTCACCACTACTGCAAATGTTATTCCACTACCACCACTACTGCTACTGTTGCCACTCCACCTCTACGACTACCACCACTCCACTACCATCACCACCATCACTACTGCCACTACTATTACCATTACCTCTCCTCCACCACCACCACCGACACTCCATCTCCTCTACCACTACCACAACTTCGCCACTAATCTCCTTCGTCATTACCTCTTATCCACCACCTTCACCACTACTATCGCACCCTCTCCTCTACTACAAAAAATTAGTTCCTGATTTATAGTAACAAAAAAAAATAGACTACAAAAAAATATTTTCCATTGACCACAAACAATTAACTTTATTTTAACAGAAAATATTTTTAATTAAAATATTACTGCCACTTCTATCAAATAAAAAATAATAATAAATTTTTTCAGTAAAATAAAAATGAAACAAATAAAATTTCCACCTTAGTAACCTAAAAAAAATTGAAAAAAATAAATAAAAAAATCAGTAACTACAAAAAAAAAAAAATTTAACAAAAAAAAATTTCTTTCGTTTTCCCGCTCTCCCCCAATTTCTTCTCACGATCTCAAATCCCCAATCCCTAACCTAACACTCCCTCTCACTCTCCTCTCTCTTTTATATCTTTCGCCTCCTACGTCGTCGGCTCTGGTGCCGCCACCCGCGACCACCACTGCCGCTGCCACACCTCCTCCCTCACCGCCCTCTCTCTTTTCTCCTATTCTTTTCACTGGTCGTCTACTTCGTCTTCTCCACTCTTGTCGTCGGATCCAAAACCCTAACCCTACCTTCGATCTTCTCCAATCCCTCCACAAGCCATATGTTCAAATCCAGACCCTACACTCTCCTCAACTGTTTCAGAACCTTTGTCTACAAAGGACTATCGTCGGACTCGTCAGAACAGCGATCTCGAACGGGCTGATTGCGATGAGAAAGACCAAGCGGAGACGCACATTAACGCGTTAGAAATGAAATCAGAAGATGGACAGTTCATCTTTGCCCTAATTTTTCTCTCAATTTCTGCTCAAATGTAAGTATGATATAGTCGTCCTCAATGTGGGTTTCTTGGGTTACTGGTACTACTCTTAACTGTGCACTTTATGTGTTTGTTTAATTGACGGAAAAGTGTGTTTGTTGGAATTACAAAATAAATTTGTCATGTAGTGGTTTAAATGTATTATAATATATATTTAGCAAGAAATCCCCGCTTAAAATTAATTATCCCTGCAAATTGTTTTGTTGATAAAATCTTTTGGTGTGTTCCATAGATTTGTGATCAAATTAGGGGAAAAAGAACATTTGTTTTGCATTTCTTAGTTGACCACCATGTGCAGCAGCACAATAATATTTGAGCATAGTCGAAGATACTATAACCTCTCCATATGCGGCAGCATAATAATTTTCAGCATAGCACAATGAATTTGAGAAGCATATACTACAGGCCACATTATCTGCCGACCTACCTTCCTAAAAAAAACATTGTTTATTTTAATTGTTGTTAAAATTATTATAATTTTATTTGGTAAGGTGATTGTTTTGTTGGAAAGAACATGCCTATGAGTTCTGCTCACAGGGAACCCAACTTGCCTTTTTCTCCATTTTTTGAGGCCTACGGGATTTCATACTAATTATGTGATACAAAGAATGCTCCAAGCTTTTGCAATATGAATACGAAAAGAAAAAAAAAGTCATTTGCATGGAACTTAAAAACTATAGAAAAGTAATAAATAATAATAATCATAGAAAACACAAACAGAGAAAAAAAAACTCGAGTTTTGGTTAAAGGCAAGAGAGGCTTTTGGAACATATTATCGAATTTAACTTGAATTGAATTGGATGCACAATGTGCACGTGACTGATATTAGATAATGATATCCCTAACATTTCCACCCCAGTAATTACAAGGCCCCCTTTTCGCTCCTCCTCTCTATTCCTTTTGTAATTTTCATTATCTATATAATTTTGAGTTCAAAATGGAACAGTTTGTTAACATCATTTGGTCATAATCGTTCCCATCTGCTAGCCATTCAGATATTAATTTCAATTTCTTCATTCGTGTATGAACAATTTCTTCAAGTACTTGTAGGTGTGAATATGCATGACACATAAACCTCAAACAATTGAAAGTTATATGATTTACATTCACCCACAAATTCATAGTTTTCTGACTACTATTACTTTTAATAAAATTCCCCACAATTACTTCTGCATCTATGGACCATTAGTAACAACTTTTCCCTATGGATCGTTTGATGCTACCATCTTATCTATATCCATAGAACTAAATCATCTTAGCTACCCTGGTGTCCTTTGATTTAAGTTTTTTTCCCATCTAATTTAACTAGCAAAATTTTTGGGAAGATTGCAAATAAGGAGTATTGACATTTTTGCTAGTTTATATTATACAAAAGTGAGGTTTTAACAATAAAGGTTGAGCTCTAAAGCGTTAACTAAATTTCTTAATTTTTTGGGCTAAATTTCTTGAAATCATGTGTTTTTTTGTTCAGCAACATTGAAGAGGTTATTACAAAATTCGCTCAACTGGCACAATAAGAAGGACAAAAAGGTCAGTACAGATATGCTTTAAATCTATGAGGATGAAGAGTTGTTTTTCTTTTCTTTTATTTTTGGTTAAATTTGAATTGCATTTGTCACAATGTCACTAAATAATTTTTATTTGAATGACCAGGAACTTGGAGAGCCTTGAAGTAAGATTAATATTGCCCGTTCTCTAGTACACCAATTCATTCTTTCTTTCTCTGTTTTCATTAAATATGAAATGATAAACATATCATATTCATTCAAGCCTTTTGGTGTTCTATTTGAGAATATAGGCACCGAAGAAAACCTTTAAGAAGTTGGACCATGATGTAAATATACAAGACTTTTTGGGTTCAAGGTTTGTGTTTATTTTGATGAATCTTTTAAATCTTAAGGGATTAACCCTCGTGAAAGAACTAATGTTTTTTTTTCCCCTCCTTTCACAGCACTCAATCAATTGAGGTTAGCCCTTTGTCACCGTAATGTTTTGAATTTGAGTTCTTATTCATTGCTAGAATCCCAGTGAACTTCTTTTTTGACATCTTTTATTTAAATTGTTATGGACAGGAATTATCCAACCAATTGAGGATGATGCGAGCTCAACTTACAGAAGCACACAGGAGACTGAGGTGCAACTTTGAAACTCATATTTGTTAAAGTATTACCTTCCCTCCCCTTTCCCCCTTTTCTTTTTGGTCTTGTGAATCATAAAATTGGCATGATATAGTTATGCCCTGAAATTGGCATGATACAAAATTGGCATGATATTGTGTGGGATGAGTACATTGAGTAAGCATTTTAGTACAATCCTGGGGCACTTAATTTAGTTATAGAATTTGATACTATTCACATTATGAACATTTGGTGATTTCATGAATTTCAAACCAAATTGACTATAATTTTAAACATTAGCATTGTTTAGAATGCCTAAATTCACCTTAATTTATATTTTATTTAATAAGTTCTTGTGGGAGTAGAAATGTAGTTGTGGGCTACTTAATACAAAGTTTATAATGTCCTGTATCCATCTGAGCTTTAACTCAACACAAGGAGTTCAAAGTGGAAAATTATGAAGCATGTTAAAATAACAATATCTTAAACCTTGAATCAAATATAACAAGCATCCTAGTAGTATTATCCTGTCAAGATGCTCTCCTACATATTATTTATATACATGCTATCTATATATGTACATATGTAATAGATGGTAGTCTGCAAATGTTATTTGATATTAAGGGTCCTCTAATTGTTTGAAAAAATGTCTGACTAAAAAAAAAACTATGTTTGCTTATCCATGATGACTGAACAATCACAAGTGGAATGATAATTGAGTTGATTTTGGAACCAATGTCCTTTATACAAGCTGCTATGCATATTCTTTCCTTTTTTCTACAGCATTTGCTTGGATGTGTGTTGGAGGAGCCATTTATCAAAATACTTGACATTTATGCTTTCCTCATAAACTTCAAGTTTATGCTGAGAAAACTACAAGGGCATTTTTCAAATATTTTAACTACCTAAATTTCAACTTTATGTTGAGAACTTAGATGTTGACAAAACTTCAAGGGCATTTACAAATATTTTAACTACCAAAATTTCAACTTTATGTTGAGAATTTAGATATTGCACTTCGTGTGTTTTGAATGGATGTATAAATTTTGGGCACCATTGAGCTAGATGAGTTTTTTTTATTTATTTTTACCTTCTAATTTTCTGTGGTTATATACTTCTCTAAATCCAATTTTAACTTTCTTGTTCTTTAATGGAAAAAAAATGGAAGTTCTTTTTGCCCCTCTTTGGTTGTCTTCAATTGGAAGATGGGTCTCTTTATTTTGACCTATATATTGTTTATGCATGTGAATTTTGGTTTTTGGGTCAACTATGATTGGAAGTGTGATAAGAGAATTGTATAAATTTGTAGATAAAAATTATGCTAGGGTTTGAGTTTTATTGCGTTTTGGTCTAGGTAGAGACGACAATTTCTAGGGTTATTAAGAATTGATGAGATAGGAGAGTGTAATGAGAGGAGTGTAAAAAGAATGCTACTGATCTCTATCAACGAACTCGTGATGAGTAGTTTTAGTTACTGAATGCTAAAGAATTGCAAGTACATAAGTTTATCAATTAATATTTCATTATCTTTCCACCTACACTCTATGGGAAAACAAACAGACCCTGAATTTTAAATTTGTTTCAGTTTTTTTTATTGAAGGACTTGGGCATTTGTGCAGTGTTATGCAAACAAAATTCAAATTACCTTTAACAATGAATTCAAATTACCTTTACCAAAATTCAAATTCATTTTGATATGTAACAATGAATTACCTTTGCCTAAAGGCGGTTCTGAAAAAAAATTATTATGTTGGGATGTTGGAATATACTTCAAAGTCAAAGGGAAATTAGCATTACTTGAAAAAAAAATTGTGGTATGCATTTCTGGATAGGGAACTTTATGATTATGATTTGTAATGAGTTATTTTTTTCTACTGAATCATTTTTCTATTTTGGAATGATTGTTCTATTCATAGGTGTAGTAAGTAGGATACTCTAAATGACATAGACAAGTACTTTGATTATTTGTCTTTTTTATTACTTTAGTTTTTCATGAGAGAGAAAATTAATGTGGGAATCTCTTTATTTTGTTGTTTTGCGGTAATCTAAAGTGACAGTGCTGATAGGATATGAGTCCAAATGGCAGTTTAGGTGATTTTGAAGATAGGTAATGGTTATTTCACAATTAATAGTTTTTGTTTTTGCACGAAAATGGGATGCAATTTCAGCAACAAGAGTTTTTTTTTTTTTTTCGTTGACGGGCTGTAGAGAAGCAAGAGCTAGGAAGAACAAGTACATGATCTTTGATGGTGATAGTTACTGTGTGGGATGAGTACATTGTGTAAGCATTTTAGTACAATCTTGGGCCACTTAATTTAGTTATAGAATTTGATGCTATTCACATTATGAACATTTGGTGATTTCATGAATTTCAAACCAAATTTACTAATCCACAACCATTGGGGTATACTTGCCAACACCAGACCTGTAAAACTATTCCTTGTGATCCTAATAGATATTCTTCATTTTCTTTCCACAACAAACATGTGGTTGACCAAACGCCAATTATTATTTGCATATTTATCAATGGATTCTCTCTAGGTCTTTTTGCAGGTGAGGTCTGCTACCCTGGACACATGGCTTCCTGAACAGGTTGCATTTATTCAATGTAAGCTTGCCTTCAAGTATCCCGGTTCAATTTTTTTTTTTTTTTGCTTGATTTTGTTCCAATGCTATAAAAAGAGAATTTGAATTTGGTTTTTCTTCCCTCTATACAGCTATGGGAAATGAGAAGTCAAATAGTTATTGGGAAGCTGAGTTACCCCCTAATTACGGCAGAGTTGGGATTGAGAATTTCATACGCACAAAGCATGCATTTCTTTACTTTTATTAACTATTCTCCTTTGTAAAGCACAGTGCACCATTGTTGTCTGGTTCGTCAATTTCTCGTAGTCTTAAGTATACATATTTTTTATATTTTAAAGGTATGAAGAGAAGAGATGGGTTCCTAAGGATGGCAAGCCAATGTCACCTTCTAGAGTAATAGAAGAAAAGGCTTTTATGCAATGGCAGAGACCTAGTGATAGGAGTGGTCATGGATATGCTAACAATTCTCATTTTAATATTGAGAGGGGTTGGGATCATAATTTCAAGTATGAAAAGAAAAAAAAAACAAAATAAATACATAATAAATGGTTGTCTTACTAATGTAATTGGATAACTAATCATACACTAACTCATGGGATTATTAATCATTTCACTAGTAATCTTATTAATCAAACAAGGCCTAAGATTAATATCTATTTATACTCACTATATAGAAATAAAATTATATCGGAAGAAATAATTTTAATATAAATAGAATTCCAGTCAATGAAGTTTGAAACGAAACATGCCTACAGTAAACAAACGAAATTAGCCAGTTTGATAAAAATGAATTCTTGTGGCTCATAAGCAACCAACACACTCAGGGTGTGTTTGATTGGATGGACTGGAAAAGGGGGGATTAGAATCCATCGGACTTGAATCCCGGGACTGTGAATCCCCCGGACTATTTGATCGGATTGGATATGTATCCTGTGTTTGTTTTTTCATGGGATTAGATGTCTGGATAGGACTATTTTCAGTGAATCCAACGTTTGGTTGGACGGACTGGATAGGATAAATGAACAAAAGACTATTTTACCCTTTTTCAATTGTTTACTATGTAATAGCAATATTAAACATATCTTTAATATTTTAATTATTTTTAGTAAACATTAAACATACTAATGGTTAAATTTTGTTTAAAGATATTTAAACATACTAATATTGATAAAAAAAATTTGACTGGTATAGATTATTTTTATTTAAACAAATAAAAATTTATTGTTGAAATTAAACATACTAATGGTTAAATGTTTAAATTTTTATTTAAACAATTAACATTGAAATTATTTTGATGTACAGATTATGTTTAAACAATTAACAATTAACAATTAAATAAATGTTGATGTATAGATTATGTTTAAACAATTAACAAATGTTGATGTAATTAACAATTAACAAATGTAAATGTAATCAAATGTTGACGTATTAAAACATAATTTAATAGATGTTAAATAAATATACATGTTGATGTACAGATGTTGAAATAATTTAATAAACATGTTGATGTACAAATGTTTAAATAAAACATAATTTAAATAAATGAAATTATTTATTGTTGAAATTAAACATTTAATTGTTTAAATAAAACATCTATTAAAACATCTATTAAATTTAAACAATGAAATTAAATAAAACATAAACAAAATTTTAAAATAAAACATCAATAAAATATCTATAAAAAATTATTTTAAAAAATTAAATAAATAAAACATTAATAAAAAGTTAAATAAAATTATTTTATTTTTAAATTGAGACATTTAAATTTTATTGAATTTTATTAAATATAATACATAATTAAATAGTAGAGGGTCAAAATGGTCATTTTCGCATATAATCCAAACAGTGATTAGTCCCCCACTTTCTGTCCCACCCCCCCCAGGACAGGATAGTCCCCCATATGGGGGACATGGAGTCCGGCTGGACATGGAGTCCGCCGGACTAAAAAAAAATCAAACGACGGATAAGGTGCACTATTTGGATTACAATCCAAATAGTGGATAGTCCCCCCTCCTAATCCCCCCAATCAAACACACCCTCAGTCCCTTCCTTAGCAGTATCAAACTCAATTACTTTTAGTGAAGAGAATGCATGAATGCATTTTCAATGGCTCATTTTTTTGTGGCACTGACTGTATAAACACCCACAGAGAGTTTCTATGAAGACACCAATGGAAAATTACTACCAGAAATTAAAAATTAAAAAAAAAACGCTTATTTTCTACTCGACAATGCATAGCAAGGAGAGAACACTGGATGACGTTTATTATGTAGACACCCGTGGATTTGCATAAAGTTCTTTAAGCTCCAATAAGCTTACAATATAACTATCGCTTTTTTCTTGTTCTTTTTCTTTTTCTTTTTCTTGTTTTGTATAAAAGTAGGATGATGAGTCGAGTTTCTGTAATTTCCCTGCAATGTTTATATATGACTGTAGATCTGCAATTTAGGAACCATATTTAGGAAGAAAGATTACCATATCCTTCAAATCTTCACATTTATTATCCTTTTCATTTCTCTAATGCAACATTTATACTATGGGGCAAAATGCTTCCATTAGCAGCGCGGCACCTGCTGGAACAAGCAGAACAATGCCATCAGCATCCCCTATCCCATCTGCAGCTCCTCCTACACAGTCGGCGAAAGAGTATGATTTCTCTTCATTAACACAAGGGTTCTTCTCAAAATCCTGAGATGCCACTGGGAAAGCGACTCTGGCTTTTCAGCTAAAGCATGCCAAATGAATATATTTCAGGAAAGCTAGCATTTTGGAGGTTACTTTTTGCATTGGAGGTTGTAAACTATTTGTAGAGGAGGTGGTGGTTTTTTTTTTTTTCGCTCCTATTTTCATTTTCCTCATCTTTTGATTTTCCCCTCTTTCTATTCTGGGTGGTGGCTTTGTTTGTACGATTAGGTGTATGCAGAGAAACAAATCGGGTTTAGATTGATTGATATTTGATAATGATTTTTTCCACATCTTTTTTTAGATGAATTATGATTATAGAGAAAATATGAAATTATATATTTGGAAATGAGATAATCTGCTGTTTTAGAATGGAAAATTTGAATTATTAGGTGCATTTGTGTTTGGTTACTAGTTGTCTCCTAGCAAAATCTAGTTTTCATGCTTATTCACACCATTCTCATTGGAATATGAAGTGCCTGTTGTTATATACCCTTAGCCTGGTTTTGCAAAAGAGTTTGTTGATCATATGAACATTAGTGCTTAAGCTGCAAATTTAATCTTCTTGTCTTTTCATTCATGTGTGTTTATTATCCTCTTAGTGCCTCTATGTAGTTTCTTTGGGTTAGTAACACAAAGTAGTTTAACATCTCCATTAGACCTCTCTTTTGTTTCTACGTCAATACAACGGTTTGCATTGCCATATTTTAAGCTGGCCTAGGCCTAATTCAAGGGTCAGCCCTACCCATCATTTGGGATACAGTTGAATTGTAGTGCAACTGAGTAGCTTAGGAATTTTTAATTTTTAATTTTTTAATAACGGAGTATATACAGAGCTTTGTCCTCTTAACTAGTTTTTTTTGGTTTATACAATCTCTTTGTTACACAAGTGATTATTGGATACAAGTCCTCAGTTTTTTTTGGTTCATACATTCTCTTTGTTACACAAGTAATTATGGGATACAAGTCAGGGAGGTGACCTTGAAGCGGGGTTGGTGTTGTGCTTTACAGGTGTTCTGTGTGGGTGTCTCCCAAATCTATTTCGATAATCTAAACCATTCGTATTGCAGGATTCGTCGAGTAAATTATTCATGAAAAAAATCAAATTAATTGGATATTTGTAACCCATAATAAAATCACATTTATTTTTAAAAAAAAATAAATAGTCAATAATTTTTTTAAAAATAGCAAGGGCCTAATCATGGACGACCACACATGTCTAATTAACCTCATTTTTTTAATGAATGACATGCTTGACGAATATTATAACATGAATGATTCGGATCATCAAAATAACAAATCCTGCCAATAGGGTTAAAGCACGTTTGAGATTCGAACTCGGAATTTATGCTTTCTAAATGACTTATCAAATATAACTTGCCCAAATATGCAAATTCATATTTTCAAGGGAAAAAAATTAAACTATTTTTTCAACCTATACATTGTATTGTACACAAATAACAAATATTTCATCTCTGTACATGTCATTTCTATGCAGCATTATATATCCCAAACAATTACACAAAGATTTGAGCATATCTATCACCCCTACCCTTGTCGTTTGTCTTAGCGTGCTTTCCCATGAATATCAAGTTACCGAAGCAATGAGAAGCAGATACAAAGTAATAATTACGGACACTTGCATGTTTTCCATTCTTGTGTCGTCAAGCCATTGTCACTGGGAAAAGCCGGTCCAACAGAGTATAAATACCACCGCCTAAGAGGAGAGCACCACTACAAAACATGAAATACATACGTCCATGAGTGACAACTATACTCCAAGGAACAGAATTGTCAACATCCGACCACTAATGAAGATGAACATTGAAGAGTAGATGCAAAAAAGGAACCTCAAGCACAACTTATCCTAATGCTAAAAAATAGGGAGAAAACACCTCATTGGGTTGATCCATGCTGAGAATTTGCTGAATGAAAGCAGGCTCTGCAGACAATTTGTGTTAGAAATTGCCCAGGATACAAACGAATAATAAAAATTAGACAAACAAAAAGTGTAGGAGTAAGAATGAAACAACGTGGCAAACAGATTATCAGCGATGACACGGATTTGGCCTCCACCTACAGATGGTAGGAAGATCTGGGCATAGTCCCAGTGTCCCCCTAATAGGCCCTGCCAAATCATTGCCTAAGTACACTAAGCCATTGGAACAATCATAATTTGGCCCGGGCCCATGATGCACTATCTATATATACCTCGGAAAGGAGGGGAAAAGCAGCAGTAAGTTATGCACATCAAGAGTTCACATACAAGATTTTACCGAGTGAAAAAAAGTATACCTGCAATGCTCCTGCAAAAGAAGCAGTTAGAAGTAGAGGAGCAACATAGCCAGTTGTGTATGTCAACAGTAAGCTGCCCCCTATTACTGGATCCTGTTAGGAGTTTCACATTAGTTATTTGTTTATGACTGCATTTTTTGTCTTAATATTGGAACTAAGGATTGAATTAAATAATCAACTAGTAAGCATTATGCAAACTATTAACTTAAAAGATGGATCTAGGGGTGGGCCTATGTTTGGATGAAGGGGGGCCATGGCTCCCTCTTGGGTCTGAAAATTTCTCTTGGGTAGACTTCTTACAAACTGGGTTTCCTATAAAATAACAAATATTGGCCCCACCAATATTGTGCCAATTTTGCTCCCTCAACTGTGAATGTTAAGATAAATGCAGTCTACTAAGTTGACTTGCTTGTTATGTAATTAAATAATAGGTTTAGAAGCTCAAATGCAATGCATAGCATATATGATGCATCCAAACATGAGAGATAGAGATAAGAGTGCTAAGCCATCATTATAGGCCCAGAACAATCAATATAAAGTCTGAAAAGGTAATAATTCAAATGGAAATTGATATCAATAAACATTTAAAAGTACCTTGGATGCAGCTACGTATCCAAGCAGGGTTGCCAGCACAGGAGTGCTGCAAGGTGAAGCGGCTAATGCAAATGTACGCCCAGCCAAATATGCTTGCACACCTGACATGTCAAATCTTTTAAAATGTTAGTTGCACTTTCAAGCTGTAAGCACATCTGAGAGCCAGCTAAACCCCATTAATGAATACTTGAGAAGCTGATGGTAAAATTAGAAAGTCTATTACCTGAAGGGAAATTAGCAG